GTCTGACAGCAGTGGTACCAAAGTGCTAAGGGGAATTGCATTAGGCTGCAGGCTGCAGCATCTAAGTATGGGGCCTGCAAGGAACGGTCTACCCTGGCCGTGTGATATTGAAGCCGAGGAGATTGAAGAACTGCACGCGACGGGAGCTCATTCTGCAGGGTTGAAATCCTTGCCGGAGTCGGATGTCCCGCAACTGAGTCGGCAATCGCATCTTTCTTCCTTTACGCGAGCTGCGACGCGTTTTGATAGGTCTGCCTGCTAGTCCAAACTGCAAGGAAAAGGAGTTGTCTCAATCTTTCTTGCCTCCAAGTAAGCACAGCGGCCCGATGCCGTTCAGTAGCCTACGGCACAGCAGTCATCTGGACTCAAGAAGTGGTTCATGTCAGCGGCATTTTTGTGCCGAGGGGAGCCAAGAATGGCCAAGAGTAGCCAAGTCCAGGTAAGCTTTTTTGTGACAGGGGCCGGGGGTTAGATGACATTCTCCGCCCAACAAGGCTTGAAGAGTCACATCGCCAACTCTATGCAACCAACCTGCTTACTCCCTGCGGCCGTTGGTCTTGAATTTGGGATGGCTTCGGAAGCAGGTGAGATGACAATTCAGTCAAAAGAGGGTCATTTGATACCAACTCAAGTCAGGCTGACGAGGGATTCCTGCCAAGCCGGTCGAAGCCGCCGAGACAGTCTGATCACCAGAGCCTGGATCGACATGTTGAGGGTGTTCAAGGGTGAGCTTTTAGCAACCTGCAATCCATAAATCTATCTGAAATGGGCGGTATTCGGCGCTTCATGTACCCATAGCATCAGCTTAATCTCACGCTGCATCAAATGGCCCGAGTCGAAATGCGACCATAACCCCTGCAGCCCGGGGTGGATCAGGAGCCAGCAAGCGAGCACGCTGTTGTTGCCTGTTGATGAACAACACGCCGCTTCTCGACTGTCAAGAGCTGAGTTTGGGTTAACACGATTGCAATATTTGTGTCTTGGGAGCTGCCGTTCTGCTCTAGAAACTGGTTCGCTTCGAAGTCACCCATCATTCCAGACTCCAAAGAGTCGTTCAAGGCCACGGGGATGTTTCCACTCACTCTTCTTTACGCCTTTATGGCAGCCATTCCTTTCCTCATCTCAGCCGTTCCTTTAGACTCTAACAATCACGTCGCGCCTATCACTCCTTATTCAATTCCTTCTCTTGAACACCTTCTTACCGGACGAGCCCTTCCGACTGGCACATGCAATGCAGACACTCCATGTGAGAATGCGGCTTGCTGTGGTACCAATGGGCTTTGCGGCTACTCTCCAACAGAGTGTGGCAAGGGCAATTGCACATCAAATTGTGATGCCAAAGCTCAATGTGGACAATACGGCAAAGAAGGCTCTCAGGAATGCCCCTTGAGTGTCTGCTGTTCTGAGTTTGGGTAAGTGATAGAATTGATGAAACTTTACTACCCCATATCAAGCATACATTCTCTGATCAATAAACCAGGTTCTGTGGTTCTACAAGTGATTTCTGCGGTAAAGGCTGCCAAAAGGATTTCGGCGGTTGTGGAAATGTCACAAGACCATCCTGTTCAGGCAATTCTGTCTCTAAGCGCACAATTGGTTACTATGAGGGATGGTCCAACACTCGCAGTTGCCAAGCAGTTTCGCCGGAGGACCTCAACCTCAACGGATTCTCTCACATCAACTTTGCTTTTGCATTCTTTGACCCACAGACTTTCCAGATTGCTCCCATGGACACCGAGACTGGCAAGCTTTACAGCCGATTCACAGCACTGAAGAAGAACAACGCCGGATTAGAGGCCTGGATCTCTGTTGGTGGATGGTCATTCACCGACCCCGGAGCTACCAGGACAGCCTTCAGCGACATGACGAGCACATCCGGTAACAGGCAGAAGTTCATCTCTGGCCTGATTGATTTCATGGAGCACGTAAGATACCATCAACAGTCCAGTCTGAATAGCGTCATTGGAGGGATTGTTTCCTAAGACTGATATCTATGAACTTGCAGTATGGTTTCGACGGTGTTGATCTTGACTGGGAGTACCCTCAAGCCGACGACAGAGGCGGCGTCACAGCAGACAAGAAGAACTACGCTCTTCTTACGAAAGAGCTCAGGGCTGCTTTTGGTGCGATTCCTATCTAGTTTAATGACATTTCGGCTCGACTGACCTCTGCCAGGCTCACGCTACGGAATTTCAATGACGCTGCCGACGTCATACTGGTATCTTCAGCACTTTGATCTTGCATCTATTGCAGCAGATGTCGATTGGTTCAACTTCATGGCTTATGACTGTGAGTCTCACTCAATCTCCAACACAACATTACTCAACCTTGGACTAACATAACTTGAAAGTGCACGGAACTTGGGACGCTGCGTCCAAGTTCGTCGGACCTTACCTTGCACCTCATACTAATGTTACTGAGATCGACATGGGCCTCGATCTCCTATGGAGAGCTGGCGTGAAGCCTGCCAAGGTCATACTTGGCCTCGGGTGGTACGGACGCAGCTTCACGCTTTCTGATCCCTCTTGCAATAAGCCCAACGGCGTGTGCCAATTCTCTGGTGGTGCCTTGGCAGGGCAATGTTCGAATGCATCGGGCATCTTGACCCTGCAAGAGATCAATGGTGTCATTGACTACAACGGCGTAAAGCCCGTATGGGACAAGGACGCCATGGTGAAATGGATTACCTGGGATGACAACCAGTGGGTCTCGTACGACGACGACGACACCTTTGAACAGAAGCGCAAGTTTGCCAACTCCCGCTGCTTGGGAGGCACAATGGTAAGTAATACTTATATTCTGCCTAAAGTAATTGCCAAGCTGACTCGGTGATTTAGGTCTGGGCCATGGATCAAAGGGACCAGGGAGAAGACAATGGATTGGCTCCCGCTTCCGGTGTCACCACAGGTCAGCAAGAAGACGCCCAGGAAATGGCTCAAGGACTGGCCGCCGGAGTTTCATGTTACACGACAGATTGCGGAGCGAGCTGCAAGAAGGGAACTAATCCGGTCACCCAGATGAATGGGCAGCCCGGCATGCTCTCAACCAGTGATCGCTGCGACAAGAATAAGTATCGCACGCTCTGTTGCGATGACGGCACGACTATGGGCACTTGCAAGTGGCGCGGCTATCGCGGTTTAGGTCTGTCATGCATGGGTGGCTGTGATGATGAAGAGACCGAGGTCCTCCAGGATACGAACAACCACAGCAAGAATGGCGACCAGACGTGCACTGGTGGTATTCAGAGTTACTGCTGCAAGGGCTTTGAATCAGCTCCAACGAAAGAAGAGCTAGAGGAGGAAGCCAAAGAAAAGGCCGAGGAGTTGGCCGAAGAAGCGGCTGAACAAGCAGCTCTCGACATTGCAGCCAAGGCTTTCTGTCGACTCGCTATTCCTGCTCTCTTAGCACCCTTGGAGTTGATTGAGGCTGCGATCCCGATCATTGGTATGTTCCACGACTTCCATGACTCTTTCATTTCGCCCCTGCATTTGGCATTTTAACCTGACTGATTCTAGGCGAAATTCTGGATATTGCCGAGATCGCCGCGACTCCAGCCCTGATTCAACTTTGTACCGATGGCATTGAGAAAGAAGGCAAAGCGGTATTCAAGGTTTTCGGCAAGGAACACTCCGTTTCGTTCAACAAGCCATCCAAGACAGTGTCACGACCGCCAAAGTCTACTCATGTATGTTTCTTTCACCATCTTTCTTTTGGTTCTCACACGCAGCCAAATGCTAATATTCAACAGTCACCGGCAAAGACCTCTTCGTGTCCTTCAAACGCCAAGCGTGCGGATGATGGGAGACCCTGCAAGAGACAAAAGCGTTACATGACATCTCATCGAACCAGTGAAATTGTCGTCTCGACGAGTAAGCTTCCAGGCAACGGCTACAAGATTCCTTGCAATGGTAATGGGGGCGTCTATCCGGAGGCTTGCAAGAACTACAAGTCCATTGTAGACAACTACCCCCAGTACAAGACCATCACCTGCCCTTACCGCAAGATCGACGACAAGAAACGCCCAATCACAGGAGTCTTCAACCAACAGCGGTCGACAGCCCTCTGGGATCCCGTCATCAATGCGCCTAACGGATGCTCTCCAGACGAATACCCGCCAGCGGTCATGGCACCTGTGAACGATGGGTACAGCTTGCTCACCTCCATGATCAAGGATAGTGATACAGAGGTACGGAGATTGCTCAGTGCAAAGCCACCCTCGGTAGATGGACAGATGGTTCGCTATCTCGACCTGGTCGACAACCGAGAAGCCGGAAAGATCTTCGACAAGTGCCGTCAGCCGCCTGTGGCCAGTGATATGCATCAGACCACCACCGTCATCAACCCAGATGCCCGAGTGCCCATCGAGTGGCATTTGACAAAGGTAGCACTTTCACGTCTCGTTTGGGAGCTCGACTTTGATGGTCTCCCTGATGACTCTGACGATTATGGTATCGCGGACAATATCTGTGTGCCGACGATCAACGGAGTGAAGCACCCCGGCTACGCTCTCCTCAACGAGGATGAATATTTTGATACGCACGCCGCAGAGGCAGCTCTGAGAGCTACCTGGCCGAATGGTCCGGCACAGAAGCGTTGGGTTGAGCCAGCAGGCTTAGTGGTGGAGGGCGTTAACTCTACCAGGGTGGCAACTCCAGAGGAGCTGCGCGATCACCTTGGCTTCGATGAGTGCACAGATAGTAGTTGCTCACGAGAGATTGAGAAGCTGAAGGATGTCGCTAGAAAGTTCAGGGACAAGGCTGAGAGGGCGGCTAACTCGCCCGCGGAAGCGCCGGCACCTGAGGCAACATCCGTCCATGAACACAGCGTCGTCCAAGCCGTTCCTCCGAGCCAACCTGGACGGTCGTTTGACTCTGATATTCCTATGTATACTGGTATCTGATATGTTTAGATCTTGACTGTAGATTCTAATACAACTTGACAAACTCTGCTGTTCGTACCTCTTCTCGCAACGTGCCTATGCTGCTTGATTGATCCTTACACTAGATTGCTGCCTTCTTCAACCATTCCGCTAGTTGCCTGCGGCCCTCCTCGCCATTGTAGTCTTCTGGCCACCCATTTTCGACCACAATTTCTCGAAGTGCCTTGTAGAAAGGTTAGTCGGTTTCATCGAAACTAGGTGCGCGGCAGCTTACTTTTGTTTCTTCGGCCCAGTGGCCTTGCGACAGGACACCTGGGTGGTCATAACGGGGAAGGCCAAAGTACTGAAATGTCTTGTACTTGTCGATGATTTCTTCTAGCCACGCTTCCAGTGAAAGAGTAATATCATCGCACAGTGTCTCTCTCCACATCCTAGGGTCGCCCTTTTCATATCTCCCTGCCGGTTCGGGGTAAACAGCGCCCGTGATGATGTACTTGGTCACTGTGCCATCCATCGTGTCCAGTATCCATATGTCACCGTCCCTGTTGACACTCATAGTGAGGGCGATCACCCAAGCTGGAAAGTCTTCAAACGACTGAAGGTCGTGGGACAGAGCATGCAGCCATTTGGGCTTGAACACTCCAACGGCTGGTATCAAAGACACGGCGGTAAGGTAGTTGATGGGGAACGTTTCCGGAGTGATCCAAAGGGGGTTGCCATCAATGTAGGGTAGATGCTTGATTAAGTCTACCACTCGCTCGTTCAGATGTGTCATTCCCGAGGCCGCGAGCGACTCAGGGGTAATTTCTGGCCAACCCCCCGACGGCGCGCGACGAACTAGAGAGGGGTCGATGTGCGGCAGACTTTGGTAGAAATTCGCAAGAGAGGTGATGATGTTGTCACGGGAATATCGAAGCTGTTGGCCCGGAAGGCGTGGGTCCGGTGGGAGATCTCTGGGGTCCGGAATAGCCTCCATCTTGGCATTCGTCTTGGCATCCGGGTGATGGGTGGTGTAAAAGAGTGATCGGGGGAGAGTGCTTGTTCACTCAAGAAACCCCGCGCATCCTGCAGCTTAGTAAGCGTCCAGGATGATGATCAAAACGTCTCCCCCTGGCCTCCTGTTTGTGGACATGCTGGCGCTTAGGTAATGTGAGAATACAGCTTCATCCAAGGGTGAACAGTAAATAGTCATTTTCTTTCGACTAACACCTTACCTGCAAAAATATCATGGCCACAAACAAGACGCATACTCGGGATATTTCCCCGGCACGCCATAAATCTGACTCATATCGTCACTGAGCATCTGCGGCCCCTTCAAGAACGAGTCCTTCTCCTTGGGAATCTCCTTGGAAAAGAGATGCCTCTTCAGCGCGACGTTCCATGCAAAACTCGAATGTCCCACGCCTCCAAACTGCGCCGCTCCCAACATGACCAGAAAGTCAATCATTCCTTTCTGGTCCCACGTCAACGCATCTAGCCTCTTGCGGTTCTTCCCCGTCAGCAGGTCCTGCTTCGTCACGACCCGCACCCCGCGCGGCACAGCGTCTTCCTCGAGCATTGCCACCTGTGTCTCATTTCCAGACGCGACGTACATGACTGATAGACCCGCCCGACTCGCCTGGTCAAAGAACGCGTTCGTCTGCTTGCTGTACTCGGACCACTCCCACGTCGGGTCCGCTGGATTCCAGTTGTCTAGAGCATCCTTCTCGGTGCGCAAGTGCGCGCCGAAGAAACGTTTGTTGATGCTGAGGATCGTGGCGCTCGCGAGCTGCCGGACATCCGCGCGGAACTCCAGGATGGTGCCAAAGGTGTTTGCGAAGACCTCGCCGTCGCTGTGGATCGGGTACGTGAGGTACGACCGGCCGAGGTCCACCATCATCGGGCCCTCTGTGAGGCGTCCGGTCGGCGCGGCGTCGGTGGTGTTGTTGATGTCTTCCAGCCACCGGTATAGTTGCGACCGCCACTTTTGCGGGCGCTCGATGCCCGTGCTGGCGATGTGCTCCTCATCGACGAGGGATTCTGGGAAGAGGCCGAGAGACCATGTTCGCGCTGGTCCAAGGGATTCGTAGACCTCGTCGGTGTCGTTGTAGAGGCGCAACTGTGGGCACGAGAGGTGCAGCGAGTCGATGAAGTGTTGCCTGTCGAAGAGGTACTCCATCTCCTGCCGCCGCCCCGTCCGGATGTGAGAGATGTCCGAGTCGTTGCGCTTGAAGATGCGTGGCATGACCAATGAGCCTCCAGCCAGCATCGTGTATCGCACACAGTTCAAGATCGAGTTACGGATGTTTCCAATCCCACCGACATTGTTGTCGCATGTGAACACAACTTGCATCGCCTTCCCTGCATCCCACTCTGTCCTGTCGCAAACCCCCCGGATGACATCTGAATTGACCGGCTCGAAGTCAAAGATGTCCTGATGGGCCAATCGCGGAATCCATGGCACCATGCTCGAATCCATGCCGACACGATCGAGGCCCAGCTGCTCACGGAATATCCACAAGAATAGGAAAAAGACGCCCACTGCAGCTGCATTGGCGAAGCGGCCGAAGCGGCCGAAGCGCCGTTTCGGGTACCCTCCGATGATGCCCATGATGTGGTTATTGTGTGTAGACTTGCGATTCAAGCGGCCTTTAGAAAGGATCCCCATTGGGAAAGAGAAAAGGCTTTGGGTGAGGTTTTGAGAGATTTCCTCCGAGGGAGTGTTCATCCCTTGTATGCCAGCGCTGCGTTCCAGAGTATCGCCCAAGGGTTGTGGCTCACCCCTTTCATGATTAGAACAGACGCGTTGTTGGTAACTTATCGCGTTTGTCTCAATGAACATATATGGTTAGCTTGGTTGTCGCTATCGTAGATCCCACCGCCGTCACATCAATAGTTCAGCCCCAAGCGGAAGCTAAATCAGGCCGCTCGGATATTGCGGAATTCGGAGCCGGATAGTCCTTCAATGAATTTCAGATGAGCGAAGCAGCAAAATCATTGCTCTTTATTGAGTTTTGCCGGGAGAACTTCTTTCTGGAATGCCAAGAGCAGACAGGTGTAGTCACCAGCATGTCACCCCTTACAGGAAAACGGTCACATTCATCCCTTACGTCCTACCTCATAGATGCTGCGAGACTAATCGCATCCAATTCGAGATCAATGTTGCAAGGAAACCTGGCCAGGCTAAGCCCAAACATGCGCTTTCAATTCCGAAGGGAGGGGCAGCCAGCATTGTCGTACAAAATGGATCTGTTCATTCTCACTTACACAATGCCTTCAGCTTCACCAACACCAAGACCAGATGACGAAATCGTCGCACACCAGCCTTAGAATGAATCCCTGCCAGCACACGCGAACAATATCCTATGTTTAAAAGAGAAGCTGGACTCGTCAATCAATCTGGAAACAGTAATTGAGACCTAGAAAACATTCGATGCATGACGTCTCCTGATGCTTGCGGGGGTCAGATCCAAGTTTCCTAGTTCACTCCAAGTTCGGCCACTTTTGTGCATCATTCCTTCTTGGGCCTCAACTGAACGTTGGGCCTCAAATGAATGCTTGATCGGATTTTGTTTGTTTGTTTGTCCCATTTTACGCCGTGATGTCCTCAAGTGAGGCGAAAGGCGACTACATCGCGCTAAAATTACAGAACCGTATGCCGTGCCCCGTAGAGCCTATATGATACCCTCCTGCAAGATAGTATAATATATAATCTAAGATTGACCCTTCTACCTACGCTTGATTGGATTGATTGACAGTGCAGTGATGCCAAGCCCTTTAACCAGTGCCTTCTGGGATGAGCATATAGAGAGTCGCTCTAACCTGCTCGACGAGCTTTTGGGCAATTCAGAGGACAACGGTGAGTGTTTCTATAATCACTCAATGCTGATAAGTCAGTAGTAAGGTACTGAGCATTGATCGGCTGATTTGTTTCATGAATTCCTCGGAAGAAAGACGTCGAAGGCGTCGAGAACTGGCTTTCCTCCCATCCATGCGCCGTCAGCCCGTCAGAGAATGTCTTCATCAGCTAAAGACACGATTCGATATACTGTTTGCTTAGTATTTAGCAATATGTCACTCACTTTCACAAGACGGAAGCCCCTGAAACGAGCTATCGAGCGACTGCCTGCTTCTGTTGACTCGTTTCGGCCTTTAAGATGCCGTGTCAATGGCTGCGTGCTCAGGCCCGGTCACGTTGCAAACGCCGGTGCTGACTCGAGAACCGGAGTGGAGACTTAAATGACCCGGAGCTGGTTCACAATCGCAATAAAAAAGTCGGAAGTTGGAAATTCCACCGCGGTGATAGTTACAGCCAGTTCCCTTGTGCGTATGGCACAGCTGCGGTCAAGTGTTCCGATCTGGTGTTCGTCTTGGGCGCTCTCGGCGTGGGAAGCGTCTATGTTGCATTACTCCTTGCCTATGTTTCGAAAGTGGCCGTCGCGGAGCCAGTCGACATATTTCGAGTCACAACCGCGCGTGAGTAGCTTTCGGGACGCCCTTTTGGGTTTTGCTTTGTGATATTCTGACAATGAGAATCCCGGCGATGTTGGTGATGTGGTCTTCATGCATGTTGCAGATAGCCCACGTTAGGACTTGGGCCGTCTTAGTGTCATATGCATGCAGCTTTGTTTACTGGGTACCTTTAGTGAGGTAGGATTTCTCTGCGGTCTCGATATAGGTGCGAACACCGCCTATCGGAATCAATTTGATGCCAGTTTCCCGCACTTTTTGTCATCACATCAGATTAGTCAACCGGTGTCAAGAAAGATATAGATGACTTAGTCCAGGAACATCTGCCTCGGTATCCACTCCCGAAACCTAGAAACCATGCGCTACCGCGGGCCTTGCTCGGCACTGTGCCGATGGGCTGAGGATCGTCACCAGGGGACCCCATTCTTTAATGCTTCCAGAATCGAGCTCATGCTTCGTCTGTTGCACTTCAGATCGTTCGAATAGTCAATCTTGCAGGATTGAAGTATACGATCGGACACTATTGCAACACAATTCTGAGTTCTGAGCGATTGAGGGGTCGATGTTCTCTCAAGATAATCATTTCCTTCGAGGCAGCACCAGAATGGCACTGAGTATTCGAAATCCAAGTAATCCCGTCGGCTTTACAAATAGGATGTCATGAGTAAAACGCTCACTCAACCATTGGTCATTCCCTAATCCGACTGCGACTTCCCAGTTCTGGTCCTTGCCAATGGTATTGAGCAGGGATCAACAAGGGTCTATAGTAATAGAGTTTCTTAGCATTGAGGCACATGGCGCAGTTTGGATGAACTCCTATCAGTGTTGCAACCTGCTATTTCTCCTACCAAGAGCCATTTAATCTATCTGATTATCGGCATTTCTTTCCTCTGCAGTCCGCCTCGTGTATAAGATCATTCCGATCGACGCCCTCGAAGACATCGCTCTACGCATCTACCACACGGAAAAACAAAACACGGAAAAAGATCGCAACAACACACAAAAACACAGCACCATGCGTACATCTTCATTACTCGCTCTCGGCGTCAGCGCCCTCGCCTGGACAACAAGTGCGCTCGCCCCGCGTCAAGGCTCCGCGCCGTACTGCCCTCCTCGTCCGGCAACACCAGAGCAGCAAAAGGTCATTCTCGGAGAATTCATGCAAGCCTTCTACGAAGAAAGAAACGCAACCAAGGCCCTCCTGAACCACGTCGCCGAGGACTACATCCAGCACAACCCTGGCGCTCTCTCCGGCCGCGCGAACTCTCTTGCCGTCCTCGAGCCTTTCATTTCCCCGAACACGGTCAACTACACAATCATGAACAAGAACTTCCAGGACAACATCGCATTTATTCACTACCGCATGGATCTCGTGGGTGGAGGGCAGCCGTTTGCCGTGGTGGACGTTTTCAGATTCAACGGGACTTGCGTTATGGAACATTGGGACGTGGCGCAGCAACGGACTGCCAACTCAACGAATCCAATCGCTTTGTTTTAGATCATGCGGGAGTAACCACGTTCATGACAGTCGGCATATAGAGAATATCCAACCACCAAACTTGGCTTAACCACTTGCGATGAAGCTCGTTAACTCTCGAATCGCTCGCCCTCGAACGATACTATGCGTTCTAGAGAGGCCAACTGACTGCACCGCCCGCAAACTCGTGATACCTACCTTAGTTCGATCTCGTTGGACACTCGCTACCTTGCTTTACCTCTTCCTTCGTTTCAGTCACTATTTAGCAATTATTGCGGGCCATTGATATCAAACAGGTACCAATGCTGCTCGTCACGTACAATACTTTGAGGAACTCGTCCGCCAAGGCGAGGCCCGAGAGCCGAGAGGTGGGGAGAACTGTGAGGGTTTCGATCTCCGTGCCGGCTCGATTGCCGGAAGAGGAAGGTGGGAACGGATAGACAGCAGGAGGATGGGCATGTATACTTGCTCCGAGTCCCAAGCTGCTGCCGGAGTGTACCCCTATTACATGCACACGAGTTTGCGTGATCTCTAACCTCCATGTCTTCCTGAATCAGACATCTAGTGACATGGACAAGTGGTAAGCGTGTGTATGACTCAGATTTTGTTCAACTGGGTATGTTAACATCCAACTAGAAACGCATATCTTTCCATATCACCCAAGAATGCCCACAACGCTTCACAAGTTGACGGAAAGCCCAAAAATAACATGTACGAACATTCATTTCCAGTGAGCTCGTGTTTTGTAAAGCTTTGCGATTTGCCTTTTGGAGGTGTTTCTGCTCCTCCCTGTGAGACCCTGAGCTCCAATGACAGTCGTATTGTTGACGTCGAAACAATTAGTCGTGATGCTACCGGCACAAAGATCGTGGAAATTCCTTTCTGTGAGATCGCAGTTTTCCCTGTCGACGAACGAGACAATGTCATACCCGACTGAGTTGGGGTGTTCGCAGACCTCCCGGGCCGTCTGACCTGGTATTCCAGTCAAGACCTGGTTGTCAGGATCCATGTCCGAGCCTTGTCTCTTGCTCAAGCGTGTAGAACGAGTTCTCTTCGTTCGATACTCCCTTTCCGATTCACCCTGCTGTTTGTATACGTCCTTATGGTACTTGAAGCGATCCAGGGCTTCGGTAGAATTTTCATCTGTGCCTTCTAGTTTCGGATTGACGGTGTCCTTGTTGTACTTCAAGACTGGGTAGAAGAATGGGAAAACGCCGTCTGGTATGAGACGCCGCCAAAAAGAGTACCGAGGTGTGCTTTTACACAGGCAGTACAACTCGCTATTGTACAATTTCTACTTGTCAGGCGAAGGCAGCATGTCTCTGAGGTGAAAACTCATAGCCCTGGCGTTGAAGTTGGGATGGGAGTGATCTGAGTCCAACCATACACACTTGGTCATGAGGTTATCACACTTGGACTTCCGTTGGCTGTAGTACCATGCTTGGTCGCATTTGTATCAAGTGTCTCCATAGACCGTCCCACTGAGTCGGCCGTTGGAAACTTGGACCATCGCAATGCATGTTGCGTCGGTATCGTGACTCAACATGACATATTGGGGATCGGATATCTGCCCGTTGTTCTCATTATTCGGTATCTTGACGGCTCGCGCGCTGCTCTGGGCTCTCTTGTCGCCTAGCTTGGTGCGGTATCGTCCTATTCTGTTGCCATTGTCGTCCCAAATGGCAACATCAGGAAAGACGCCGCCAGCATCCTTGAGATCGCCTCCTGCTCCCGTCACCACGGTCACCCAAGTTTCCGCGATGGGTTTCTCGGGAATGGCTTCTTTGATGATGAAGGCTACGGGCATAAAGGCTTCAATATTATTGAGTGTGAATCCAAGGTGGGTGTTCACCCATGTCATCAGCAGTGGCATGGCAGGCCCAGGGGCCAAGTTTGCAGAATTGGCAGGTTGGTATTGAGTCGTACCAAGAGCTCAGATTTATTGACTGCAATGGGCCAAAATGCTATAGAAGAAGATTGAAGGTTCAATACTCGCAGTTTTGCAGTAAGTGTTCGTCTTGGACATACTCATCGAGTATTAATCTGGTCGATGAGACCTGGGAGTACACGAGGATTGCTCATGCTCAATGGAAGGTCTTCCAATTTCCGTCAAAGAGAGTTACGTATCATTGCGGATTCTATGATACGATCTTTCGTTACGCGACGGATTCTGTATTACGTGGTAAGAGAACATTGAAGTGTTGATTGCAATCGGTTTGCCGGCCACACTAGATAGGGTGCATATAAAACTGATTGTCAAGAAACTTGCATGTCGATCCGCTTCAATGAACCCCGCATCGTGTGACACTCGAGACACTTTTTGTTGAAGGTAGGGGGCTCTACTCTCCCTTTTATATCACCAGAGCGTGATGTGCCTTTATCTACGTATTTAAGTGTCGTGCTAGGAGACTCGTACACATACTGCTTTGAGTTTGGTACCTAGAATTAGTTCACTCTGATGTGAGAGATCGAACAGGCTTTTGCTGGTGAGTCTGGCTTGTCCCCAAAGCTAGTGGCACATTGCGGAGCAAGAGTGAGACAGATTTGCAGAACGAAGGTTAATTAAATTAAATATGTGATAGAAATCCCCCACTCTAGTTGCCATGACCTTTAAATGTACAGTATCAACGAACGTAGTGACTAACAATCCGGACTATGCAAAGTCTACAACCGACACCATGTTCTAGATTAATGAGTGAATAACAGGCGAATCTGTCGGAAACCCCGCTTATTTGGAGCAGAAGGACCAGGAGCTCTCAATGCTCCAGGAGAAGCCAGCGGAGAAAGAAGGAGTGTAAGAAGCAGCAGAAGGATTGTACTGCTGAGTGAAGAGACTGCAGTAGGTACCCTTAGCGATACCGTTTTGCTTGACCATGAAGGCGTTGAAGAAGTTGCACTTCAGAGGGCTGTAGCCGAGGAAGCTGGCCCAGGAGCCGAGGCCGACAGACTTGGAGTTCTGGACGTTCTGGGCAGCGGCGTAGGTAGCGCAGAGGCTGGCATCGAAGGGACCGGGGAAGAACTTCTGTCCCATGCAGGTGCTGGGGTGAGAGTGGACGACACCGCCGCAGCCCTGGGGGTTAGTCCAGCCAGAGGGAGTGGTGGGAGTGGTGGTGTTGGTCTTCTCGTAGCCGTTGGAGCCGGTGATCACGACCTGGAAGCCATCACGAGTCTGGCCAGTGTTGACAGCAGCAGCCTTGTCGACGCCGGAGCCCCAGAGAGTGCACTTGTAGTTGGAGATGGAGGCAGGGTTGGTGCAAGAGCAGCCGGAGGGGTTGATGGAGGGGTCACGCTCAACGTAGATGTTGATACCGGTGCACAGGTTGGTGGCGTCACACTTGGCAGCGCAGGCGGCGACGTCGTAGCTCTTGAGGGTGTAGAGGCCGAGGTAGCTGTTGGCGTTGACGGCGGCGCTCAGGTCCTTGAAGGTGTTGGCGTATCCGGAAGGGTTGGCGGCCGAATGAGCCTCCTTGTGGAACTGGGCGAAAGACTGGAAAGCCTCGACGGTGTCGGGCTGGACCTGAGTACCGTATCCATCGGGCTGGACAGCGCAAGGGTCCTCAGGGTTGATAAATCCGCAGTAAGTGCCGACCTCGAAAGGCTCAGCGCAACCAGAAGCAGTGGTGAACGCGAAGGTGTTGGTCCAGCTGACCGGGGTGCAGGTCGAAGGCGCGGTAGGAGCAGTGGTGATGGTGGCGGCAGTGGCAGTGGTCACGGCCGAAGTTGTGACAGGAGCGGTAGTCTTGGGAGTGGTCACGGCAGCGGGAGTGGTGGAAGTAGTGCAGATCGAAGTAGTCTTGGCGGACGAAGTGGTGGAGGGGGATCCCCAGCAGAAGCCAAAGAAGCAGAAAGTGCGCTTGTCGAGGCCACGAGCCGCGACGGACTGAGTGGCACTGGCAGAAGCGACACCGGTGACAGCGGCGGCGGCGGATGAAGATGCAGCAGCCGCGTCGTAGACGCCAGTCTGGCCAGTGGCCAGGGCAGGAGGTCCAGTCAGGGTGGGTGCAGCGGCACCGATGATGGCATCGAAGTCCATGGGCGCGGTGGTGGTGGGCGCGGCCGACGCGAGAGCCGCGAGGGCGATGATGTTCAAGGAGTAACGCATGTTGATGATACGAGGCTCGCGTTGAGCTGGAAGCAGGAACTTTGAATGAATGTTGTTGAAGGAGATACTCTGGCTCAGAAGAGAATGTGATGCTCAAGGTGAGAAGTGATCGAAGCTGCTGGGATGAAGAGAGAATAACAAAATGAACCTGGAGAAGAGTGCTGGTTATATACCGTTGTTGTGATCATATGTGGCGGCGTATTTTGACATCGCGGGTTTAGACCACATTGAGCTGACATTTCTTCTTTGGAGCGTATTGCGGCACCCGTTGGCCGACTGGCGCCTCGTACAAGCTCTGAGCACCTCCCAGAAGTGTGGTCCATCGTATCCGTAGTTCAGGTTACCAGAGGTCAGAGCTCTTAGTGAACGGTGAGACCGATCTCCGTGCAGTCCAATCCATAGTGTCGGCAACTTGACCGGAGTCGAGAAAGGCCAGTGTAAGTGAGGTCCACATCGTCACTCTCCTGAAGCACCGTCCCGCTTACTGCGTTCGCGATTCGCGAGTAACGGCAGTCTGGGGCAGCGGGTATGTCGATCCCACAAAGAAAGTGGAATGTTTCAAGAGTTGCTCTATTGGGATCTGGAAACTTTTCCTTTGTTGCCCTATCCCTGATTCATTGATCGAACCAACTGTGAAGCGGCTCTAAATGGATGGCTTTGTCCCAATTCGTCCCGAAAACGCCAGAGCGGGTAACTCGGGATCTCCTGTAGCGCTTTGATCCTTGTTCCTGTAAGCTAGACTTAGTCTAGGTCGACCGAGCATGATATGACCCCATTAGCTAGCCGTTAGACAGACGCTGCATCAATTAGCATCTTTCAGGTGAGCTGAGGTTCTATGAGGAGAATGGCCGACTGAGTGCAAAGGTGGGAATCATCAGATCAACCGCGAGAGAGGGTGGAGTCACTTGTGAGTCTCGCCTGCTCTACCTAAACGGTGCAGATACGATTATGCACACATCCACTTCTCGACGATGAGACTCCGTGTAACTCTGACCGGTCAAGGCGATAAACTACCCTCAAAATCCTAAAACGGCTTTTCGCAGCCGCCTATCTATGCGCGTTGCTGAGGTTTAGGGTCATATGTTGGGCTTGCGGCCGCAACGTGAAGGCCCATGTTCGTTGTTTGCCCGCGTTAAGTGACAGCAAGTAAACATTGTTTGTGCAGAATCCGAGGTATTGGCATCCGTGCCAAGCATGTCAGCGTGCACGGCGAGCTGGCTGCCGATTGCGCCCAGCGAAGCCAAGAGTCGGGGTCTTCTTGTGGCTTTGATGCTCGACGGGCCGTCGTCGTCCCAGTGATGAACACGCGTCAGCGACCGTGCAACAGAAGCCCTCGGAAATCGGGATGACGACTCGAATTCAATGGTCTGTGGAAGCTGCCACAATAGCAGCTGGTTCCTTTCATCGAGTAAGGTAGCTTGTCCAGCTGTGTTGATGTTGACCGAAGCTAGACCAGATTCATCATAGTTGCATGGCAAGCCACCACGCTATCTATATTTTTGGCAATTCTGGTCAGGTACCATTGCTAGTTTTTCTCCTTTTTCTTCGGTGCAGTGTAACAATGAACGTATGGTCCGACCAGGCTTCACCAGATCTTTTGAGAATCAATTTACGCTACCGGTTCCTGCAGTAGTCCAGAGGCAAATGCACATTAACAAGTTCAAGGTTCGGTCTTCTGCATCACTCATGCTCGACGACCCCACAAGCCCCTTTGTTTTCGCAGACCAAGTCCCTCTATTAGGTAACGCCAAACCTCAATTATGTTTTTTGGTGGCAGGAATGATGATATACTTGACCTATCGGCTCACTAATCATCTGAGCAAGTCTGCTGTTGAGGACGGATGACTTCTCTCGATGCCTCCTCTCTAGGTAGGTCGGGGTTGACGATTGATGGTTGTTCTTAGCCTCGGGAACATCACGATGGGCTTCTTTCATGACATCGCGCGAGGCTAGGACTTCGCAGCATGTGCCATTGTCAGGCTATTCTAGTTGTCAAGTTGATTCGACTTGCAGACCCTGGTAGGCTTGGACGTTTCGCGGAACTTACCACAACTGTCACGACTGTACGACACTCCCGGTGGGCTGGTTTTGACAGTGACAAATGTTGCCAAGCGCACTCACTTTAGTTATTGATAGTCACGTCGGCCCGATAAACTAGCACCAAACCTTGTGTAAAGTTGCAAACTGAAGACAGGAAACCAATGGCAGTGGTTCAAAGAGAAGCCAGGTCCAATTATGAAATCATATGGAGTTGTCATATTTCCAGTGAACACATGCAGAAAGGCCCTTGTCTCCTCTCGTTACAAATCGCTTGCTGCGATCACTCTTCCCCTCAACCCACCAGGAGATGAATAGCTCAGTACTACGGGAAACCCCCTTTTATGCCCTGAAGCATCTCTCTTCGATCAAGCTCAATTTTCAGTGGCATTTGCTGCTATCACTAGCTCGAGGGTGAAAGGAGTCGAGTGCACAGTACGTTGGCATATCAGAATATGCCTGAACCACCCAGCGAGCTTATCCGATTAGGTCTGCGTCAACTCCGAAGGCCCTGTAAAGCTGTCATAAGTTCCACGACATGACTGCTTGAAAAAAGGTTAGAAGGTCAAGGGCTACAATGAATGAATTGTTGATGATCCTCAAATTTCAGACTGTGCTGGATGTTCTGCGAGTGCGGGCATAGGATGGGCGTCAAAGACGACTTTGAATCTTGCATTTATCAACAGATAGGTAGGTACATTGGTTCTAAATCTGGATGGCATAATTCTACCTCAGGGCTTATGTGACCGGGGTCCTTCGCGTTGAGCCTGCTGCCTACTGCACAGCTACCCCGCATCTTGACCTTCTTTTTTCCGAATGCACGCTTTTGAATTCGACTGTGGATTGCACACACTGGATACTACCCTCGCTGAGTTTCTCATACCACTGGAGCACGGAGCTTTTACCACCATGAGCGATCAAGGTTCTAAAGAACCCCAATACAACGTATCAATATGTGCGGTGGAACCCAGTGACATCGATGACCTCGTCACGATCCATACTGCCGCGTTCAGATCCGACCAGTTTTCGAACTTAATGCTTCTGGGTCGTGAAGAAGGCGCCCATCAACACCTTATGCGCAAGTCGATCCTTCACTGGCTATCGAACCCCTCTACTACCAAGATCTTCAAAGCAGTCGAGGGGAATGGAAACATCCTCGGCTGGTCGTGTTGGGTTGCGAAGGAACTTGAACGGAAGAACCCGGAGGAGAACAAGTCCTCTGAGGCACCCTCTTTCGCAAACTATCGCAAGGAGAAAGCACGGCCTGCCGATGATGCTCCTCGAGACCCTGCGCGAGTGTTGGGTGGGATCATGCACAAAGAGATGACTTCATGGGAATCTCGACACATGGGAGGGAGCAAGTACATGGTTCTGCAAGCCTTGGCGACGCATCCCGAGTTCCAAGGTCGGGGCATCGGGACCAGGCTGGTTCAGCATGGACTTGAGGAAGTCGACTCACAGAATCTTGCATGCTGGATTCATGCCTCGCCCTCAAGTTACAAACTTTACGAAAAGGCTGGATTCCAAGAGGTTGAGAAGAGTGGCTATGATCTTGCTCAGTGGGCACCAGTAGGGACAGGCGGCGAACTTGGTTGGGGGACATATACGTTTCGTTATATGCTTCGCTCTGTAAGAATATAATTTCTGCCGAACGTATTTCCATGACAATGGAAGCATGTTCGTAAGCTGAATGTATCATGTTGTGTGTGATATTGGACCTGAAAATGACACACCAGCTGCGGCAAAACAAACAAACACCTCAACTCTGGTGCTGTTGCTCCAAAGACGCGAGGATGAGCTCAAGTAGTCCTCTGCTATTGTTTATAGTCAAGTCTCAAGGACGCAGACAACTCAGTTATACTGCATAAAGCCGTTCAGCTATCTCAGTGCGTGCTATCAATTCTACCCAAAATGCTAATTATCCTATCAATTGCGAAATGGCGTGTGCACAATAATTTCCGACCAACTTTTCTTCAAATTCCTTCCATTACGGAACTTAATATAACAGTATAGCAGGAATAGGCTCGAAGCAACGTTTTATTCTTCCGTACTCTAAATATATACAAATTCTTTTACTGACGATATTCTGCAGTTGATGAGATAGGGCTCAGCCGTTGAGACGTGTAAAACTGCCCGCCCCTTATCAATCTTGAACCCACTGATCTACCATGTGAAAACTACCATGACGAGTGTTTCGTAAAGTTGAAATCCTCGGGAGCTTGGTTCCGATAAAAGTTGAAACTGAACTTAACGTTGAGTAAGTACATTGGAACTTGAACAGCTCGTCAGAAAAGCTCATGCCAGAATGTTCGATAGACACCAAAATGCTTGTACTGAGTAATACCAGAACTCGGCTACACCCATGTAGATATTTAACTTCCTCGCTACCTCCTCATCCCAACATCCAATTCTCCGTCAGGTATCCGTACAATGTTGTGGAACCTCTGGCCTGTTCAAATTACCGCCTTCATCCTTGTCAGATATCGTAGTAGAGAGTATACCCTTCTAACGCGTGTACTAATATCGTCGCTAGCGCTTACACTTGGCCGCCTAAAGTAACGCACTTAGCCACCTGTTATTTACTTGACGAGACCCGCGTCATTGATGTGACCAGAACGGGATCTTCAACTTCATGCACTTTCGCTCATTTCTTTCCTCCGGAATTTCATGATGGGGGACATGCTGGCTTGGTACATTGTCATTTTCCTAGGATCGGCTATTCTGACAACTGGCTCCTTATACAACTCCGAATTCATCACCAACCCGAGCACATCGTTCCTCGTTCACCTCACCACGAGCATCGTCCTCTACTCCACCTCCCTCATCGGCCTTGCTCTCACCGCCATCGAAGACTGGAGACTCCAAGCTCGCCTCGCACGGAAGAATGGACGTGGCCTCGAGCCCTTTCGATTCTTCCCCAAAGAGCATGCGGTCTTCGTGACGCGGGCGACGGGCCTGGCAGCGGGCGCCTACGTCATGGCGCTCCCGCTGCTCATGCCGACTGACGACGTGATTGCCCAGGTCTGCCTGCGCATACCCACGTTTTTCTACGCGTGCAAGTGCTGGGACTTGACAATCGCGCGAGCGAGGAAGCCGCCTGTCCCACGGGATGGGAAAGAGGAAGTGGTCTACGGGCTGACGAGCTGGAGGTCTGTTGCTTCGTATGTCTGGCGGCTTGGGTCGGAGACTAGGTATGCGTCTTTCAATATCGCCGTGGATGAATCGAAGCGAAAGAGCATCCCAAAAAGCGCGGCCTGGACCTACGGTCCGCTGCTCGTGGTCCCTCTGACATATCTATTCCCCGTTACGGAACTAAAGGTCATGTGTGGCCTGCTTGCTATTCAGTATGGACTAGAGGGCATTCACTTCATCTTCCATCCCCACTGCCCCAACAAGCTCTTCTTCCAGCCGTGGGCAGCAGATAGCTTCTCTAGCTTCTGGGCCATTCATTGGCACCATGGGGCACAGCCATTCCTTCAACACCTAGGGTACGTTCCCGCCAGAGCCCTCTTCACACGTCTGTTTGGGAAAGATGCTGGCAAGGCCGCCGGTGTCCTCGCGGCTTTTAGTCTCAGCGGAGTTTGGCATGCCTGGTGCGGGGTCGTCTTGACACTGGACGAGTATGCGTGGGTACAGGCTGTGGGCCTGTGGACTGTGTTCATGGTGCAAGGCGTTGGTTGCCTGATCGAGCGCTGGCTTTTCCAGAATGAGAGCTGGAGGATAGGACGGAGGAGACAGATGTTGACGGCCCTGTGTTGGATGGCTTCAGTGGAGTCGGCGGCGTTTTGGTTGAGGTACGGAGAGGCACGGGCGAAGAGACCTCAGGGCTGGACTACGTTCTGAGATATGGAGTCAAGGGTCAAGGGTCAGGGGCGATAAACCAATAGAGAGCATCCGTAGAGGCGGGTAAGGGCATGAACTGTTGTCAAGAGCAGCATGTTTCAGTAGCTTTACCCCAAGGCATCGAGAGGTCTGGCCCAAAGAATATGATAGAACCTAGATCATTAAAGGAAATCTTCTGTGACTTCAATGTCTGCTAAGCGACACTAGAACCTGTCCTCGGGGCGGTACGTGTTCCTGGTAACTGGTTGTTCAATGATACTCTGATTCAACCTGCATCCTTTACCCACTGCGGATGTCAATGCTACAGACTTGGGATGGAGCGCATATTCAAACGGATCTTTTCGATCCTTCCCGGGTCCCTAGTTCAGTAAACTTGTCGAAGGGGTGGTCTCGCCAACGCTTTGCTGGATTTCAGCTGTCGAAGTCTTCTCAATGCATCTATGATTGGCTCGGCTCCTGCCAAGAACATTCAGACGGGAGATCAGCGCAGGCATAGCTCAGCGCATGGCATCACTGGCCTCGTCCCATCATATTCCGTCGTGCTTCTCTTGCCGATCTCACGCTTGAATCTAAACGTTTGCATTGCTCTCTGCGATTGCCAATTTGTCACTAGGCAGCAAGAATTCTGAATGATGCTGCTCAATGGTGAGACATGGGAACAGTAGCGGCTAAGTAGTCTAGTGATCAAAGTTGCGATGTGAGGTTATTGGATAGCTTAACGGACGCGGGGTAAAGAGCCCCTCGGCATTCGCCCCATGGCGCCGGGACGTGGGCATGGGGATCAGTCTAAGTGATCCTTCTCCACTACCTACTAGAAACCATCCATCAATCCTACCGAGAAAGCCGTTGACGCAAGGAAGGTCAATAGCTTCATGATCTGTCACTCCAAGTCGCAAAAAACTGATCGTTCGTTGGCTCGCTTGGAACCGTTGCGCTTCTCCAGGAAAGCGCTTATTAATAAGCCTCTTTGGTGCGTCAAGGGGACGCTGGAAACACCGATGGGTTCCTCGGTTCGTGAAATAAACGCTCCAACTTTCAGATGCTTCCAGGTTAGACACGTCAGGTAGCGTGAGCTAAACATACAAGGGAGGGAGCTCACGTGAACCTAACCCCTGCCCAGAATACGGGCCGACGGCGGGGTAAAATGGTTCGTCTTGTCTTTTTCCACCCCTGTCTCCGAGTCTGGGGTCGCATCTGGGGTTCTGGGGTTTGTCCGCGCGGCCTTTCTTCTTTCCCCAAAGCCAAGACTTGACGAGTTTCTGGGGCACATTGGCCTACTCACTTGGCAACAACTTGGCATCAACTTGGCAACATGATGGGGAGACCAGGGCCATGGATGACATCTGGACCTTCAAAACGACTACCGCGAAGATGAATGGCAGTTGAGGGCTTGGTACCTGATGCCGAGGGGCGTTTGGAGGACGCGGAGCGGGACGCAACAGCCAAGCAAAAGCCAAGATCAGAGACTAAAGCAGGTCGAACGTTCCGGGGAGGTTGTTGATGTTCCGCAACTAAGGTGACTGGGCAAATGCTTACCTTTACTAGCTCCGATTATACCACGATTCCATCAAGCCCCCTCCCCTGACGTATACCGCGCAGGACGTGGGAGAAGTCGCTCTGACCTTTACCGGACAGCCGCACCATATGCCTCTCCATCGGTCCATCGCTTCATTTCCAGACGTACCACTCTCCAGTGCCGGTCATCCGCACTCTTCCCCCGCACTCTAGAACCAATCTGGCCACCCTACCCGCTGCCCGCCAGCACCAGAGTCTTCATCGGAGAAACGACCCAAACGCATGCCATCGAATCCCACTACGACTCGAAGCGCACGTATAACACCAGTTCGGAAGGTCGTAATAGCGCGGCATTTGACATGCGCTCTCTGCTCATTGGAGGGAATTCTTGACGCTTGGGGTTCTCGTGCGACCCTTCATCCAATATCACAGACATTGTCAACGAAATGAGATGAAGATGGATCACAAGGAACGTGCCATCGTGAAGCACCTCACGGTGTTTAAAAGACACACGATGACCCCGAGTCGTCGGATCATGAGAGTTGTCTCCCCAGGATCTCACAGGCATTCCCCTCGTCAGTGACAACTCCCCTCCCGTTCTCCGTCAGCAAATCCAAGGTCGTCCCTCCTTCTTCGCCATGTTGTCCAAGCCAATCCGCGAGCGCGGCTACGCCCTCGGCCTCGCCCTCGTGGCCACAGGCTCCCTCGTCTCCGCCGGTCCCTGTGACATCTACGCCTCCGGCGGCAACCCCTGCATCGCCGCCCACAGCACCACCCGCGCCCTCTACAGCGCCTACACCGGCTCCCTCTATCAGGTGAAGCGCGGCTCCGACGGTGCCACGAGCAACATTGCGCCCCTCTCCGCCGGCGGCGTCGCCAACGCGGCCGCTCAGGACACCTTCTGCTCCGGAACGACCTGCCTCATCTCGGTCATCTACGACCAGTCCGGCAAGGGCAACCACCTGACCCAAGCCCCCGGCGGCGCCTTCAGCGGCCCCGACGTCAACGGGAACGACAACCTCGCCAGTGCCATCGGCGCCCCCGTCACTCTCAACGGCCAAAAGGCCTACGGCGTCTTCATCTCCCCCGGCACCGGCTACCGCAACAACGCCGCCGTCGGCACCGCCATCGGCGACGTGTCCGAGGGCATGTACGCCGTCCTCGACGGAACTCACTACAACGGCGGCTGCTGCTTCGACTACGGCAACGCCGAGACCAGCAGCACCGACACGGGCAACGGCCACATGGAAGCCATCTACTTTGGCGACAGCACCGGCTGGGGCACTGGTGCCGGCAGCGGACCCTGGTTGATGGCGGATCTCGAGAACGGCCTCTTCTCCGGCGTCAACCCCAAGAACAACGCGGGCGACCCGTCCATCACGGACCGCTTCTTCACCGCCGTCGTCAAGGGCGGTCCCAACCTCTGGGCCCTCCGCGGCGCCAACGCCGCCTCGGGAGGCTTGACCACGTACTACAGTGGCGTGCGGCCTAACGCGTCGGGCTACAACCCCATGAGCAAGGAGGGCGCCATCATCCTCGGCATCGGCGGCGACAACAGCGTCAGCGCCCAGGGCACCTTTTACGAGGGCGTCATGACCTCGGGCTACCCCTCCGACGCGACGGAGAACTCTGTCCAGGCCAACATTGTCGCGGCAAAGTACGCCACCACTTCCCTGAACAGCGGCACCGCCCTCACCGTCGGCAACTCCATCTCCCTGCGCGCCACGACCTCCGGCTACACCGACCGCTACCTCGCGCACACCGGCTCGACCGTCAACACCCAGGTCGTCACCTCGTCCAGCACCACGGCCCTGAAGCAGCAGGCCAGCTGGACCGTCCGCACCGGTCTCGGCAACAGCGGGTGCTACTCGTTCGAGTCCAAGGACACGCCGGGCAGCTTTATCCGCCACTACAACTTTGAGCTGGCCGTCAACGCCAACGACGGCACCAAGCAATTCAAGGAGGATGCTACCTTCTGCACGCAGTCTGGTATCAGCGGTACTGGCAGCTCGTTCCGTGCGTGGAGCTACCCTACCACCTACTTCCGTCACTACAACAACCTGGGATACGCTGCGAGGAACGGCGGTGTTCACACTTTTGACTCTGCTACTTCCTTCAACGCGGACGTGAGCTGGGTTATTGCTACTGGCTTTGCCTAAGTTAAGGATGATGATAGGTCGAGAGAGAGAATGAGATTGTTCTGACAGGCGGGCAAGGGGTCAGTCTGGCATACAAGTTGTTGGGACGAGCCTGCGAGATGTCCTAGGAATAGTTCCTGCTAGTCCTTAATTCATTCAAATCGACCCTTGGCCTTCATTGGTATCGTACAATTATCAAAATCGATGTTGCAACGACCAGATACCATGAGATCCTACATGATTGTTGAAATTTTTGAACTCTAGATTTCCAGACAGACTTCAAGTTCACATCACTTGCCTCAAAACCCTCTTAGTGGTGCTGTTGACTTTGAGCTTCAAGTTAGATCATGGTGTTGGATTTGCGATAACCAACCCAGGTCATCAACTTGATAACATCCACATATTAGTGCACATCTTTGCCCCTGGGCACGCTCAGACTAGCGATCTAGAGAGCTTGACGTGGCGGTGTTATATGTTGGTGAAGCATGCGAAGTTCCAGACCCTAGATTCTGTGATCAATAAGAGCATTCACAGTTCAGAAAAGCTCACAGACTCTGCTGTACATGCCCATGAGGCGGCCATCATACCTTGCGGGAGGCCATACAGCCTGGTTGTCAGGCTTCTATAGCTCTTTTCTGCACCCATCTGATAGCTTAAATTGCAGTGAAGGAAGAAGTCCGATTCGTTGGAGCTCCCGCATCTTGCGGAGCTGATGGCTTCGGACATTGCCACATCAGTGCTGCGACATGGAAAGAAAGATTAAATCGTGATCGGCGTGATGGAATGTAATTACATAGTGAATTTACTTCGCAGTCTCCAAACCTATGCCGGTGTCCTAATCACTTGAGGGCCGAAGCGCATCACATACTTACATACCTTTATTTGTTTTTCCTCGCAGAAAGGCTATGGAAATATAGATCCCAGTATCCGAATTGGTGTCTTTTTTTTATTTATTTTTTTTATTTTAAAAAAAATGTTATGCGACTTGCTCTCGTCATGTTTAGGCGTCTAGCATAGATAGGCAGGATGGGGCAACGTATAAGATCGCAAGGCCGGAAATGGGTCCAGCAATATCGACATCAAAGACGCCGACAGGTGCCCCACATGTCCCGGCCGGGTCTTGCAATTTCGGAGCCGACAAATCCTCACCTTCAAGTGGAGTGAGAAGCAAGACACTCTTTGAATAGAATGGGAGAAAGTAGCCAAGAATTGTGCCGTAAAGTCGTTTGCCTTCACAGACGGGATTATGTTCGCTTTGAATTTTGACAACGGCATGATAGCTTGGCTACTCTACCATAGTGGACAAATTCCAAACATTCGGAAATTGTAGATATTGAGCGTGAAGAA